GACGGGCGGCTAAACCAGCGCGAGATGAAGGTCTTCGCGAAGTTCACGGGCTTCGAGGGCACCGAGGCTGAGTGGGAAGACGCGTACAAGTCCCTCTGCGCAGACGCTGGTGGAGGCGGGGGTAGGGCCCAGGAGGGACAGGAGAACGAACGAGCAGTAGGCGGCGGGGGAGGTGGCGGAGGAGGAGGAGGAGGAAGAGGAGGAGGAGAAAGAGGATGAGGAGGCGGAGGAGGAGGAGGAGAAGGAGTGCGGAGGACGAGGGAACGAGGGGGGAGGATGAGGAGGAGGAGGAGGAAGAGGAGAAGGGGAGGAGAAGGAGGAGGAGCAGGGAAGAAGAGAAGGAGGAGGAAGAGGAGGAAGAAGGCAGCTCCGTGGACCTCCGCGGCTTCACGACCATCGTGGACGACCCCACGGACGAGACAACCGACTCCGACTTGCGGAGCATGCTGGAAAAGCTGAGGGTGGCTGTGCCCGTCATGGTCCCCCCGCCGACTCCACCTCCTCCGATTGCAGGCGCCAGGGGGAGGGGCGCGCCTTCGTCATCGTCATCCTCCTTTTCCTCGTCTTCTTTTTCGTCCTCCTCCGCCTCCTCCTCCTTCTCATCTGGGGGGGGGTTCTGTGCCCAGCGACTACGCAGGGGGCGTTCGATAGGAAGCGCTTTTCCCGGGGGCCAGATCTTGGCGCACTACTCTCCTTGCCACGGCGGTGTGGATGGCCCACGGCTCTCCCCCGTGAGGCCGTTAGGCCCTGAGCACTTGCTTGCCCTCCTCCTTGTGCTCTTGCTGTTGTTGTTGCTCCTCCTTCTCCCCCTCCTCCTCCTCCATTTCCTCCTCATCCTCCTCCTCCTGCTCCTCCTCCTCGCCTCCACTTGTAAATATAATAGGTCACCGCTGTTTGGCCCGAGCGTCGACGTCGACGCATATTATCTTACCGTATGATGAAGAACAAACAGCGAGATCAACATCTTATTATCGCGATGTTTTTTCTCCTTCAGTTTCCACTTCCCGCAGTGCTAGTTTGTAACGGAGCTGGGAACGAGCCCAACTCGCGAACCACGGACCGTGCGAAGAGTGTGGTGTGGACGCACATTCGCACATATTTTCGTCTCCGCAACGGCACCGCCCTCCATTCGTTGAGAAACCTGTGCTGGTGGCAGTTTTGCAAGCCAATTGCCAAGTCGCTTCGGACACCCGATCCGACTGCGAGGGCATCAGCAGAATGCGTAACCGCGATGAAGAGCGAATCGCCCAGATGAGCGCCACGACGTTCTTCGACCCATCGCAACTCCACAGGCACTGGCTGTAGCTTCGCGTCGGGCATGGTTGCGAGGCTCCTTCCCGGGCTTGCGCCGTGCTTCGATACGAGTGCGATAGTGCTGGCTGTCCTTGTGAGCACATCGCACCACCCGACTGGAACACTGCAAGTCAATGTGCAAGTTTCTGGCTTCGGCTTCGACCAACGTTGACACCGGCATCATCACGGCTGCCCCGCTTTTCGACACGGCGTTCGTCCCTGCCCCGGCCCGAGTCCCAAGGCGCCTACGCAGTCGTTATCTTTGCGAGGTCCAATCGAGGAGAATCCCCATCTTGAGTATCCTCGTGTTCTTCGTGGTCGTCCTGTTTTGACTCACGGGCATGGTGCCTGGTGGAGCCGGTCCACGGCGGCCGCGTCCGCGGTGCCATCACATCCCGACAGCCGCCCACATGGTCACCCGAGCGCGAGTCCGTGTATCCCTTCCGCCAGTTGGTACAGGATGTGCTCGCCAGGAGCGCGCTGGCCACCGACGTGGACGGCGTTCAACAATGCGGCGACGTCATCCTCAACCTCGGTGGGGCCGCTCGCGAGCTCACGCGCTCCGTGGGCTTCGTGGAGACGGCGGAGGGAGGCATGATCAACGGCCAGCCAGAGGACGCCGTGACCTTCCTTATCGCGAACCTGGCCATGCAGTCTGGCACACTGGGCGAGGGGTCGCGCTTCCAAGCAGCCCGCGAACTCTTCAAGTTCTCGAGGCGCCGCAACGAAACCACCGACGCGCTGCTCTCGCGGCTTCTCGCGCTGCGATTCCGAGCTACGCACGACGGTGGAGCTGCGATGTCGCGGGGCGGCTACCGCTGGCTGCTCCTCCGAGTGGTCGGCGTCGCAGCTAGCCAACCCATGGCGCTGCTCCAGCCACGCGGCAACCGACACCCAGCCACGAAGGCCGAGTTTTCAACAGTCTCACGACTATGCCCAGGCGCGGGGGTCACATCGTGGAGCACTCACCAAACAACGTCGCCAGCGCAGAAGAGTCGCGGGCATGACGTATGACAACAGCGACGATGCACATGGCCCCATCGCGCATTCAAGATCTCGACTCATAGGCTGCCAGTGCCGCTGGGCTTCCTGGGACAGGAAGCGCCCTGGCGCGCGCTGCCGGCCCGTCGCCAGGCGCCGCGCCGCCGCGGGCAGCGCGGCCCTGCCTGCAGCGGGCAGCGGCATTATGGCGCGCCTCCGGGATCGTCGCGAGCCCCGCCCTCCAGCGGGCGCCGCCGCGGCGGGGGGGCCTTCCAGCCTGCGGGCCCCCCCCTTTCCGCCGCGGGCGGGGGTTGGGGGGGGCCCAGGGCGGGGGGGCTCCCCTTTCGAGGCCGCGCCCCCAGGGCGGGCGCCGCTACTAGCCCCCGCGAGCCCCGGTCTGCGAGGCGAGCCTAGCAGGCCCCGCGGTTCCGCGAGCCGCGCCCAGCCTTGGCCGCGCGGCGTCTCCTGGGGCAGCCGCGCGCGTGCGAGCCTGCGGGGTCGTCTTGCGCCCCGGCCCTCTGGCGGGCGCCGCCGCGACGGGGGCCGCCTTTGCCCGCGGGCCCCCATCCTTCCGCCGCGGGCGAGGAGGGCCCCGTGGAGGGTCGGCGGGGCTTCGCGACCGCGCCCTCGCTGCCCTCGCACGCGCGGGCGGCGCGGCGCAGGCGCGGGCGGCGGCGCCGTGAGAAGCGGGGTGGTGGGGCGAGGCGAAGCCAGAGGGGCTCCCGGCGGTCGCGGCGTCCAGGGGGGCCCGGGATCCGCTTTCTGATTTCCAGGGCCCGGGCTTTGGTGATGGCGTTGACATATGAGATCTATGTCAGATGAAGTCACTTATAAGTTACTTCAATTATAGATGAAGTTACTTGTAAGTAACTTGAAATCACTTGTAGTGAGATATGTTAAGATCCTGCAACTACCATCCACATCTAACTGAATTCATTAACATATATACTTAAATCACATGTAGAACATATGTTACTTGTGTGCACCCAATTGCCATACTTATAAGTTACTTGTAGTTATACTTATAAATAAGATAAGTTTAAGTCCGATAAGTCTGCTTTTTCGTCTGCTTTTTGAAAAGGGGGTCGGAAACCGAAAAACGCGCAGGTTTTCTTCAGCACAGTGTTTCGCCAGGCGCCAGGCGACCGAGAAGGCCGTTCATCACCGAGCTCAACCCGCGCAGCCTGGGGGGTAGGAGAGAGGGGGCGGGAATGGCGGGGGGGGGGATCGGGAGGGGATGCCATGCGCATTGGCGGCACACCGCCCGCACTTCTCATCGCGGCGCGTTCTGATGTGATTCGTTTCGGCGGCCCACCGCCCACGTCTTGCAAATTCTGAGCAGTTTTATCGCATTGGCGGCGCACCGCCCATCGCTATGTTTTGCCCGCGTATTGCAATTTGTACGTTTTGCACATGTTGATTGAAGGTTTCGTCGCGTTGGCGGTGCACCGCCCACGTTCCCTTGATTGCGCGAATCGTTTCTTCACGCATCGGCGGAGCACCGCCCACGCAGCACGTTTCATCCGAATTCGTCATCGAATTTGGCGGTACACCGCCCACGTCCCCGTGATTGCGCGATGCGTTTCTTTCGCGTTGGCGGTGCACCGCCCGCGGCGCATGCTTCGCCCGAGTTTGTCATCGCATTTGGCGGCCCACCGCCCACGTCACCTTGATTGCGCGAGGTGTTTCTGCATTCGTTGGCGGTGCACCGCCTTCGGCGCACGTTTCATCATATACCGTTTGTTTGGTCGCATTGGCGGCGCACCGCCCAGGAGGGGGGAGGAGGGGAGAGGGGGGAGGAGAGGATAGCAGAAGGAAGACGTGAAGGGCCATGCCATTTCCCTTCGCCACAATACGCTGCCCCTGTCCCACCGAGCGCTTCTGGAGGGGCCGCGGGGCGGGCGCCCCCCGACGCGCCGCGGCGCGATGGAGCGCGTCCAGGCTGCCCTGGGCGAGGCAGCCGCGGCGCTTGCAGCGGCGAGCGGGCCTTCCAGGGGCGCTGCAGAGCAGCTGCACTTCGGGAAGGTGCGCGCGCTCATCGAAGGCCAGAGGTGAGGCTCGGGTCAAAGATCCCGTACGGGCGAGAGGCCATCCGTTCCCCCTTCGAGGAGGTCCCCGCCTCCGTTCGGCGGAACGCCGCCCGCTCCCCCCTCCTCCCCGCCGTCTAACATTCCCCCGTCGTTTTGCAGGTGGACGGCCACGGAGAAAGGGCAGCTGCTGACCCAGCTCGGGCAGACGGGGTTCAGTCACGATTTGGTCGGCGCCGCGACCGAGTGGCTCTGCGGGAGGCGCACGAAGGCCAAAGGGCAAAGTTACGAGTGCTTCGTGGAGTTGCTGACTGCCTCCACGTGGCACGTGCTGCTGAGCCCAACCGAGTCGTTCGCTTCGAAATTTGTCATGTTGATGCGCCACTTGGAGCGCCTCGGGCTCCGGAACCCTTCCGAGCCGACGTTTGGCATGCTAGCCGCGTTCATGTTCCTGGCGTGCCAGCGATCAGGCATCGAGAAGAATTCGCCGACTCCGCAGCTCTTGGACGTGTACTTGCAGTTGGTGAAGACCACGTGGCGTTCCCCTGCCTACACAGCTGCTCGAGGCAAGGCAACCGAGTTTGTCGGCGCGCTCTCCCCCTCGGCGGCGCTGTTCCAGCAGGAGAGGCCGACGCTGTACGAGCAGGCGTTCGCCTCGGAGGGGCCCGTGCAGCCGACAATTGGGCTTCTCGAGACGCAGGTCCTCGGGAAGCTCATCAGCTTGCGCGGCAACAGGAACGCAGCGCTCGGCGCCCAGGCAACGCCGCAGCGGGCGGCGTTGCCGCCGATCGCCTTCGCGCCTCTGCCGCCGCCTTCTCCGATGCAAAGCGTTGCGGTTGCAGCCGCGACGATTGCCGCGACGCCTCCCTTGGGGGCCGCGACGCCAGCGGCGTTGCCGTTGGGGGTGATCCCAACGCACAACACCCGCGGCGGGTGGCCGAACCCAGCGGCGGCCGCCCTCGTCTCGCAGCGCGGGCCGACGACTCCCACTCCAGCAGCTCCCGCGGGCAAGCCTGCCGCGATGTCGGGAGCGGCGCCTGCGGCCGCGGCCTCAAAGTTGGGTGGTGGCGCCAAGGTCAAGGCATCGGCCGTTGACGTCATGGTGCTGAGCTCGAGCGAGTCCGAGGTGGGCGCGAAGGGGGCGCCGCAGAAGAAGGCAAAGGTTTTTGGACGGTAACCTGGACCCGCCTCCGCGGCCTGCGCGATTCACGG